TCCCTACAGTGTGACTGAGAGCTGATCCCAGCACCATCCCAATCTGTTCCACCTGCGACAGTGAGTCATCACCTAACTCAAATCCTAAAGCTATGCTACAGAAAAGCTGGCTTTGCTCAAAGTGACTTTCAAATAGCAAAATAGTTTGGGAATGTGAAGCACCAGTTTTCAAGACCAGCAGCCAGATATCATCTTTGTGCCCTGCCACAAACTCACCACCTACCTTACCGCCTATCCACAACCAGGTTATTAAAAAACAGACCATCGTATCTACACCTCATCACGGGCGAGTCCAGAATGCTAGGTACAAAATATCAATGAAGTGCAGAGGTCAATCATCTATCAGCATGCAATAAGCTAAATGGTGAGAGGATTTACACATGGCCCAGGAGAGGGGTCAGCAGCCTCATTGGTCTGTGTGCAGTGTGCCTCTCTCTGACCCGGTGCCATGTCCCAGGTACTCAAAAGCCCACACACCATCACCATCTGACCACTATCCACAGTCAGCTTGCTGACACAGGCAGCAAGCACGGTCGGCGCTGCACATCTGCTGAGCATTGTGTTAGTACAGTCCCACATGGTCCCAGTAACACAAATGAAAGGAAATCTTGTTAATGTTGGCAACCTGAACCTCTAGACGGCTTGTTCTGTTGGTTAACAGGGGCTGCTCTGGCAGTTAGAGTATAGACAAACACCTGAAAGAGAAAAATAACCAGGTAGACAAAAGAAATTAACATGAACCAAAACAAAAAGGGACCATCTTGGCTCTGTTGCAGCGATTGTTCTGGTTCAGGCCCCAGTGGTAACAGAAGTGGGCTCAGAGCCGGTGTCTGGAGTCATGGCTGTAGCTGCCCGGGGAACTGCGATTGCGATGTGGCTTGTATGCATCCTGATAGGGGTCCTGGTAGTCCTGGTAGGGGTCCTGCTGCTCTCGGCTGTGCTGTGAGCTGGACGACATGCGGTTGCGTCCCTTGTGTGCCCGCTCATTGTGGTAATTTTCGTCTGCTGTCATCAGGTTGCGTCGTTCATTCGGGGTAGAATGGTCTCCTGTGTGGTTGCTCTGTCGCATTTTTTGGCTCTGCTAATCACATGAACAGGGCCTAGATAAGGCTGGGACAACACGACTCAACAAACAATGAAGATCTGTGCCCTTAAAAAGCAAAAAGAACCACTGACTTTGTTACAGTAGATGCTGGATATGAACAAAAGGAAGACCTTTTGTTTTCCTCTCATTTATTCACTATATAACATGTGGATTGTATACGTTGAGAAACAATTGCCTCATCATCAACACCATAGATTTCACTGGATAAACATTCACCTCTGATAAACCACACAACAATGGAAAGTGTTGCTTGGTTTTGTCTCACATATGAACTCACACATGGTGTGGACAAGCTGTAAATCTTTAAATCAAATACAGAGTCAGGATGTTTGAAAGGTCACTAAGGGACTGGATGAAAGGGAGGCTGTGCAAAGCTTCTTCTAGTTTCCCTGGGCTTCTCTCTTACCTTAATTACCTCCCTAGTCACAGTGTAGACACAAATATTCCCCTACGGGAGCCTGGGACCTGTGTGTGTGTACCTGCAGCCCAGAGATGCTGGCTGGGTAGGGGGTGAGGGTTGTCGGGCCCAGGTTGCGTCCCAGCAGGGGGTTTAGGGGTGTCGCCATTGAGGTATGGGTTGCTTTCCAGTAGGCCTCGAGGTATTCAGCGAGATGCTCACAGGCATCCTCCAGCTGGTTCTCATCCAGGATGATGTCAAACATTTCCTGTTGGCAGCAGATGGTCAGAGGGAGGAGAAGCTAAATGATAAAGGTGAGATGGACCATCAGTGATCTCAGTACTGTATGTGAGGACCTGTTGTGTTACTATGTACTGTGTAAGGAATATTTTGTACTATATGGAGTAAATACATAATATGAATGCAGAGCAACTACACTAAAATACAAACCATAACATGTAGGATTAAGGAACCAGTTGGCTGGACTGACTAACCACATACCTAGACCAGGCCACTCACCGGAGGACACTGGGCCAGTTTGTCTGCTGCCACAAGCTGCACATTCAGGTGTTTGCTCTGGGATTTCCCTCTGGACTTGACTAACCTCTGCAACACCTGGATGACAGGGTAAGACAGTGCACGATGGTTCAGTCACACAGTTAAGTATCACAGCTTGTTTCTGCTCACCTGGCGCACTCCTTATTTTACACGTCTACTTTTAAGCCAAATAAATTAAGAATGGACCATTTTTAAGTACCTGATTTCATAGGTGATTTTTCTTTTTCTTGATGTGTGTGGACACAATTTACTGGTCAGCTGTGACTGTAAACTAGTCTGAGTGGTCTGAGGGAAAAATTGCAGTAGACGTTCTCCTCCATGCAAAGGCGCCAATTTAAAGCCTCTCTCGACTCCAGAGGTTATATTTAAAAGTCTTGCATATTAACCAAGGGTCAACAGTGTTTCATGCTGCTATGTCAGTGGATGTAAAATATCAACCTAACACGGAGACGGTTACTGTGACTGGTGTCTTGGTGTTATCTCCACCTATTGAATGACTCTGTGGGACAGTAGCTACAGAGATCACATCATGTGCTTAGTTAGCTTTTGCTAAAATGTTTGTCCAGGCTTAAGAGAAAAAGAAAGAAAGAAAAGTAAAACAGGTATTGATTCAGGCTGTGTTTGTGTCCTCCCATCACACAGTACCTTTGGTGAGGAGACCTTAACATGGACGATGATGGGGGCCAGGGAGGTCTTGAGGAGCTGGGCTGGGTGGTTGATGGTGTCGGCGTCCAGCACCACCAGCTGCAGGGAGCGGGCCAGCTCAAAGATCCGCTCGATCTCACTCTGCACTTCAGCTGATGATTCGCAACACAGTGATTCAAACATTTGCATGTTATTATTATTCATTTAAGTTTCTTAAACAGTCATTTTCTTTGTGATCTGAATAGCTCCAGCTTTTTTTCCTGTTTCCTACTACGTCTGTGCCAAAAATGGTTTAGAAGTTATTTTTTTATTTATAAAGCTGACGATAATTAATTTTCAGTGAGTACAATGGAGCATGCGGTACTTTCTTTACCTAAGCTTGAGCGAGTGTTGGATCTTTCAATGATGGCCCTCTTACTGGGGTTGTTGAGAACCGACCGCTTGGCTAATGATATATCTGCCGTGACGCGGGTGATAGATATCCTGCAAAAAGAGAAGACATTTTAAACATGAGTAAATGAAATATCATTATTTTGTAAATTCTGAGCTGTATTCTGAGTTTTTTGCTTCCTAAGGGGCAGTGGGTGCACCAGTCCTTTACTTTCCTACTCAGTCATCACAACCAAGTGCCACACATCTCTTACCTGCCATCAAATCTGTGCTTGAGGAAGTCGAACAGTGCTTTTTGCATCATGTCTGTTACCTGTGAAGAGAAAGAACAGATGCTGCCTTAGTCTCGCAGTAGCTGTCTGATTAGGGATAGGCATTGGCTCCTGCTCCCCCATGACCCTAAACATCAACAGGCTCCCATCCATCAGACAAATCCCAGAGGACAACAGGTGGCATTTCAAACATCTGTTGCCTTCTCAGACTAAACAGGATGGATGTGACATCAACCCAACTGCTTTTATTAGTTACTCTTCTTTAAGAAATTAGCATTTATATGTCTTGTATCTACTGTACATGTGCGTTTGAAGCTGTGTCCATTATTTTGGAGGACTCATAAGGATAATAATCACCCTTATTTGGCCAAGTATGTTACACACAAGGAATTTGTTTCCGGCACAGAACCAACGGCAGCCATCTGCGGCGCCAACTCAACTTATGGCTCTAACCATCAGGGGCAACTTGGGGGGTTCATTGTGTCTTGCCCAAGGACACTTCCGACACATGGACTACAGGCACCAAGATTCAAACCTTGAACCTTCAAGTTGGGAGACGACTGCGCTACCCACTGCACCACTGTCGCCTCCTCATCATACTGATCACCCACAGCTCAAATCTGTCCATAAAAATAAACAGATAATACTGTTCCTAAAGCTGCACTAATCATTGTATTTTATATTAACCCAAGATTAAATGAATAATGTAAATGGGGTAGTAACTTACCAAGAGAGATTTAACACCCAGCTCTGCACATCCAGCCTGTTATTTAAAGCTTTTTAGTTGCTTTTAGCTTATTACTTTGGCTTTACAAGCCACAGCTTTACTGTTCTGGCTCACTCTCAGCACTTTCATCGGTGTCAGTTTTAGAGAAAAAGCACTGATAAACTGAACACAGAGAGACGCAAGCTTGTGAACACAGCAGCACATTCAGCGGCTGGGGAGTCAGATATTTATCTTGGGAGTTTATGGAGACCAAAGCAGAACTCTAACCATCACGTGGCCAAACACACAACTCCAAACTAATGCTAACATTGCTCTATGTCAACTGTTGTTTGTGAACATGTGGCAACAGTATAATACGGTATGTCAATGTTTTATTCTTAGCTTATAAGCAGTATACAGTATAGACAATGGATTAATGGATGTTTGTGATCTGTAGTGAAAGCATGAGAAGTTGTGTATATGATTCTGTCATTGAGTTTAAGCACAGTTTATGAGTTTAAACATCCAAAACGTAACCTGCCTGCATCTGTTTATCTATACCTCCTCCAATGACAATTAAAAATACAATAGTATAGTAATGGGTAATAATGGGTTTACCTCTTCAAATGTGTGTTTGAATTATAGTACTGAATACTGTCCCTTGGTAGAAAGTAATAAAGCATTTAAAGGACACTCCCAAAAAGCTCAGATCAGCCAATTACTCAACATATTTTCACCTGACCATGTCGTCTCCTCGTTAGTCTGGCTGCAATCTGGATGTTACGTGGGCGATGACACACTCACAATTAACCGTGCCAGCAGCGAGCTATTTCAGGGGACTCAGGAAATACGTACAGGACTCATCTCCTTTCTGTAATCTCGACCGCTTCGAATCAGTAAACATCTATTTACCGACACTGAATTTGGCATATTGACTGTGCATGAACTCTAAATCAGAGGGTTTTCTCACCTCATAACCCTTGAGTGAAGGTCCCACCAGCACCACAGGCCTCATGGAGGGAACCACATCATACGGGGGGAAGTGCTCCGTCTGTTAACACAGAAACATTCAATCAATCAGTCGACCCATCACAAAACTAAACAACCCAAAATACTCCACTGAAAATACTAATAAAACCAGAGTCATTTGAGAAAATGATAATGTACTAATGACTGTAGCTTGTCAAAATGTAATATATATAAATCTATGTCTGAATATCCTGACCAAGACCATAACACTCTCCTGGTGTTTTAAGTATTCAACAGCTCTTTTTACAAATTACCTCAACACATTTAGTTTGAAAGCTCTGAGAAGAGCATGCAATTTATTTTGACCAACAAATAAATGTTTTATCATTTGCTACATAGGCAATACACAATACCGGGCCAAATATCACAATAAGAAGAAGCACCACGGCACCATACCACGTCAACGTGGTAATAATAGATATGTCGTTTTGTAAATCAAACTGATTAAAGATGCAGAATCGGTGACAAACATACAATCAAAATCAACAAAATGAAAATTCTTTTTTCTGCTACAGCAACATTAAGTTGTGCAGACAGTCAATGTAGGTAATTACCACATTTTATGCAGAGAAGTGGATCTGGAAAATAGATTCGAACCTCCAACCCTCCGGTTGGGAAACGACTGCTCTACCCACTGAACCACAGTCACCGTATTCCCCTATTGTACATGTTTGTATATTTTCAGAAGTATTTTGAAGAGCTAATATTCAAGTTGAGAAGGAAAGTTTAGTCTGGACTTAGGAAACAGTAGTTTTAGGTATTTAGTTGGTTTCTTTGCTTCCCTAAGTTTTTTGAGAATATTCTTTTTAAAAAGGGAATAATCTAAGGAAAAGGAAATACTTTAATGACTCTCATTTCTTCTGCACTTACACTTTGACCATCACACACATGTTTTTAGAAAGGCTTAAAGAATAGCAAAAAAAAAAATAAAAATAAAAAAATCAGTATGTCCTGTGCAGCACACTCCTCTCCTTAGAGCATCAGTTTTTTGTCCATTAAATGAGATTTCTGACTCAGAAGTAATAGTTCAACATTTATTTCTTCCTACAGGGAAGTTTCCAAAGAGCCAGATGCTGAGATTAAAACCACTCTGTGCAGTAAATATGAAACTAAGAAAGCATGCAGTTTGCTTAGCTTTGCATTAGGACAGTCTATAGAAAAAACAAAATGTGTCTAACAGCACCTCTAGAACCCACTAGGTTAGCTGGTGATAGCTTCATATGTACCATGCAGGGGTAACACTTGGTATTCAGCACTTTGGAATGGTGCCGTATACTTCAGTAAGGTTGAAGTATTGTGTGCTCTAGGTTGTAACTCTGTCACACAAAATGTTGCAGTGTCATTTTATGATGGCAGCAACAAGAATGAATGTTTTACCGTCACCTACTTACCACTTTCTGTTTCTGCTTTCCTGTGGGAGGGAGAGAAGACAGTGAGAGTGTCGTCAGTAGCTGCTGCGAGGGGAGGCATCACCACATGATCTCAGAAACAGTTGAACATGCCTCACATTAACAGCTTCTCATAAAAAATGAAACCTATCAAGGATAACTAGCATGGTACAACATGAAATGCAGACAAAGTATTTCTATTGCCCTAAGGTTATATTCACAAAGTCACATGAGTGCAGTTCAGAGGGGGGTTCATAGTCTTGGCGTTGGGTTCACACTGTGGTAAGCCCCAGTCTCAGAGCGCCTGCAGTCCTCAACTGGAGGAAGAGGAGGATCATGGGAAAATGTACCAACAACTCTACGCAGTGAACTTAAGCTCTATGGAGACATGGGAAGGTTTTAGAGTCTTATTCTGTCTATACTGCTGCGGTGGTTCTAAGCTGGCCGCTGGCTAATACCGGCCCTCTCCCCCTGTCCAATGTTCTCACCTGCCGAGGATATGAGGGGTCGGATAGAGGCAGACACCTCATCCTCTACACTGGAAGAAGAGTTCCCTCCAGACTTACTGGAAAAGACAAGAGGGGATAAAAAAAAAAGACAGAAACGCACCATGACATTAATGTGGAAGATGACAAAGTAAAAACTAACTAGGCTGGTGATTAACAACACTGTGTTACAGGGATCAGTCAAGTTGCTACTGCATTAGCAGTAAGAACATGCTATCAGCTACAAAATGTTCATGTTTAATTACTATGTCTGGAAACTGAAATCAGATTTCTTCCACTTGGCATCACATGTTGTAAAGTTGTCAACACAGGAGGGACAGGCAGCCAATCCACTGACGTCCATGGCCAGAAAAGTAAAGTTACAATCACAGTAACGCTGACAACATATGAAGGCCTTTCGTTTGTAATTATGAAGTCATTCTTTTCTTTACCTTTTCTGACTGTATGAGCATTAGAAATCATTCATCCTCCAACCCCAGCTCACCATCTAAATCACAGAGTGTATGACTACTGTATTCTGTATGGTGTGTATGGCTTTACACAGGATGAGAACATGTGAGCAGCACACAGTGAAAAGGCCTGATGCTGAAATTTAAAACTGATCCGTTACAGTTAGAAAAGAGCATAGAGTTGAAGACTTGAAAATACCCTTCAGATTTTCATTTAGATGACAGTAGAGACGTTGAAGACTGCAGTAGAAAGCAAACAGTAACAACTTCATTAACATTTTTTTCCAGATTTTGTCTGATTCTCTCATAAAGTTCAGTGTTTCTGTGTGTTACAAGGGAAATTACGATTCTTCAGAGATGAACAGATGCCATCAGGACTCGTCACTGTGAAGCTGCTGTAGCTGTAAATTAATTGTACTAATTTGCAGCGTTATATTTTCATCACATTCATACATTTTCTCGGTGGCTACTACAGCATATATAGTTATCAGAACAAATATGGGGAGACTTACTGTTTAAAACATTTACAGTAGTGCACTTAAAACCAATGCAGCTGTTTGTAACATGAAATAATAACATTTCTAAGTTGTGCTTATTTCATTACAGGAAATATTCAAGACTCTTCTGACAACTACAATAAAGGCTTCATACACAGAAAATTGGAGGGGAAAAACTAAGTGCACTTTTCAAGAATGACAGGTCACATAACAAATTAGGAAACACAATACAAGTACATCATATGGTAAGGACCCATATCTTTAACCTGCTGTGAGGATAATCGGGCCATAAGAACTAGTTTGTTTTCCAGACTCCAACATCTCTCACAATCTCTCCTTGTCTAAGGGGTTTGGCGACAAGAAGCCACAGAGGTCGAGTTAAGGCTGGGACAGTAAGTGAAGTACCCCGATCTAGTAAAACTAGTATTAAAGCAGAACAGCGAGGATTAAGGAGGTACATGTGAGTTACTGTACAAACTCTGTGTGACAGAACCATCAACACACATTACTCACAGAGGGCGACTAGGAGGCTGATAGCAGAGCTAATTACAGCTATGGAAACGGTTTCACTGGTGCAGTCGGCGTGAGTGGAAGTGGAGTAAATAGGCATGAGTCATGACCTGGTTCAAAGTCGACTTCAAAATAAAGAGGCTGACTGAGAGATTAGAACCTTTTCCCAACGCGTTAATGGACACAATCTACCCTGCATATCTGATTAAACAATTTTATAGGTCTAAGACACCAACTGTGCCTTTGACAACGTATTAAAGTGTATGTTCTGCATCAGAATGTGTAAAAATGTGAGGCTGACCAGTACAGTTTGGGCACAGTGTAGAGGATGATGTTCTGTCTGTGGACCACAGAGGCTCTTCATTCATCCATATTTCCACAGTGAAGATCTTTTTCTTTCCTTTCAGTAATTTGATCTTTATCTCTTGTTGTTCTAGACGTATAAAATCGTTGCTCAAGTGTTGTACAGTTGTCACTACATCAAACTTCAGAGTTACTTTACCTGCAATCTTCATTTTTTTGTTTACTGAGACTGTTGTGTGTCCACACACAGTGAGATGAGTGTGTTTGTCTCTGACCTACCCTTGGACTCGTCCTCTCTTTTGCTCCTGCTGGAGTCGGATGTTCTCGAGCTTCAGGGGGCTGGGGATGAAGCCGATCTCACAGCCCTCTTTCACTAACCGGCCGATCCACCAGTCATTGTTGAACTTCTGAGGATGATAAGATTAAAGAAAGGAATGAAAATACAAGGAATGTGGGGAAAAAAATGTACACATCCATATAAGCAGTAACATTTAATTCAGACGTGCACATGTACCTCTTTTATGTGGAGGAAATCCTTGGCATCAAAGGAGATGGCTGTGGCCGGTACTGGAACATCCTCATCCAGTGCACCACAGTAGCTGACGTTGGTCCTCACAGCAAATGCCACAGGTTTAGACTGGAGCACAAAAACACATATCTAAGGATCTTAGGTGCCTTGCAAAATTCTCTAACTTCACTGTGGCTGAAAGCCAGACTAGTCAGAGAAGAATGTGGCCACCAGCTGTCACAGGATGGCTACCTTGGCTCTTTCCAGTTGACTGGCGGCTTGTTGCTCCTTCTCCTGACGGCTCTGTCCCGGTCCTTGGCTCTGGCTTGGGCTCTGACTCTGGACCTGGGCCTGTACCTCCCGCTCCTCCTCCAGAGAGACATCTGAGTCTGATGGTCTGCTAGTGTACGAATCAGCTGAGCCCTGCAAGCAGAGATCACACTGTAAGTTACTAAACTCACATTCTTGTTATTGTAGTCTTTTTCAGCAACATCCATTCATCCAATTTAACACAGCAGTCCTGTTTTGTCTTATGCTAGTTATTGGGAGAACCTGATCACCACTGTAGCCTGAGACAAAACAGACAGCCCTGCTAAAGGAAGCAGGAGGTGCTGTAAAGCTTCACCCTACCAGCTACTACAGCAGACAAAGCTGCATTTAAAGTCACAGGCTATAAATAGAATCATGGCAAAACTAATGCAAATACACGATAAGACTCTACTTTCAGTGTCAAAACCCAGTTTAAGAGAGGGCAGTGGAAAATGATGTGAAAAACTCTGCTCTCCACAGTGAGACCCTGCTGGCTGTGTTATAAAACGTACTGCAGCTTCAACCCAAGGATTGTTAAAAGACTGAGTGCAAAGAACAATGGGATCATCTGAGAGAAGAAGAGCAATGCTTCGTTATGGGACCGCTGACTGTCACAGGTTCTGGGTTCACAGCAATTTGCATTCCGAGTGCCAAGTCCACAGTGGGGGTTTGGCGCTCTAAAAGCAGACCAGGTGGAATAGATGAAAAGAACAGAGTGCCAGGAGCATCTCAGACAAAGTGGAATTTCCATTCCTGAGTTGTCAGCAGTTTGTTGGACCACTCAGCCAATTTCAGACAATTCTGGCTAGTGATGAATTAGACACACATTCCCAGAAGGAGGGCAACTGATTTCTGCATCTTTTGGGCCAAGAGTGATATTTTTATTTTACTTGTCTCATGCAATCATCAGATGTCATGATGAAATGACACTGAAACACAGAGTGTGCAGATGAGTTAAGCCAAGCTGCATACTAGGACAACTCAGGCAACACAGTCAGTTATGATATACTGTATGGTATTTAATTAAAATTATAAGATGAAAGTCTAAAATGTCACATAATAGCTCATCATTTTTACTTAGCATATAAAATGTTTGCTTTTTCATGCCTCTGTGGCAGTGACAGGCACAGCTGTCTGCCCCATTCTGTTATATCAGGAACGCCTTGAGGGGATTTCTTCAAATTAAATACTCTTAGTACTTTTTATTAAGCCCTACACCATTTTGCCCAACAGGACAACCCAGGGAGGCTCCCACAGCAGACCTGCGCACTATCAGTGTTTTTTTTTATTTAGTCTCTTGAGGTACACTAGGTGTCATCCTGTCACAGTGCGAGAACTCAGTAATGCAACTTTTTTTTTTTTGCTTGGACATGACTGGACCAAGTGCCTCCCTCTGCTGCGTTAATCTAAACAATCAGCCACTAATGATGATTCAATTAAGGAAGGCCATTTAGTCTGAAGAAGATCAATCAAGCTGGCTGTCACAGCTAAGCACTTTTTGTAGAAGCTAGCAGAGGCAAGGCCTGGCCTCAGCACACCGCTCGCCCACGCTCTGCATCCAATCACAAAGTGCACACTGGTGGAAATGAAGTGGTTCCTTAATTTTAGGGAGCAGACATATTAAGGGGCTTCCAAGAATAAACAGATTTTAGAATACCAATGTGACAGATGCAGCACTCTGACCGGGATAACGTCAATACTTTCCACGGGACAGGTTAGGATTATTATTAAAGCATTCTGCCAATGTTACACATTAGTATTAGTCTACTTGTTGGGGGAAACAGCCATAACACCTTCTGTGGTTCTGGATCACCTTTGTCAAGTATGGCAAGATGACCCTGATGATGTCACTGTAATGTCACTGAGATTTACTA